AATAAAAAGGTAAGTACATTTCTCTTGTATACGTTGCAATGAAACGAACCCAGAGAACTGCGATCGACTGCGTCGAAGAAACGCTTTTGAGTCAATAACAACCACGATAATATACATACGAATGTTGTGTTTGTATTGTAAACTCTGTCGTGGGGTAAATTGTCGTCGATACAACCCTTGTCGAATTTGAAACGGTTTAATTGTCCTGCGTACACTCTTCATGAGCGCTATATATTTGGCAGAGGATAATGCATGGAGCAGTGTGGATGAGGTGCTAACCCGTCATCATTTTTAACCAGTTTTCATCAAGCCTTACTTCCCCGAACGGTTCTGAGGAGTTTTGTGAACTCCGGTACCAAAGCTTTAACTCCATTCACGAATTTAGACGCAGACAACTACAGGTTTTCCAGCCGTCATTTAGCCTCGTTTGTTACCTGTGTCGCAATATCCGGCAACTTTAAAGACCCTGAGATTGAAACAAACTGAAGCGGTCACAGTACTTGCTATCAGAGTAATTCCATCTTCCATGAGTTGGAGGAAAGCCAGGAATATGGAAATTAAATGATGGCACATTCGAAGATATGTTACACGAATTCTTATTTCATATTCATTGAAGTATTCGGACGTGTACAGCGAGTTTATCCAGCTGAAGTAACCCAGTCGTCTGGAGGCTGTGTCGCTGATGGTACTGAAATAATGTGCACCAACCCGTATCCACCATTTCTGTGAAGGCTTAAAAGGCTACCTCTTATGTTCAAAGTCTTGGGTGATTCCTCATCCCGCTTCGTCTACTTAAACCTTTTGTATATACTTAAATCTTGTCACGCTGACTTAATATATCCTTTGTTATCTTCCCCGATCTACTTGTTAAGGACTTCAAATCCAACTCCACATCTCTCAAGCTTAACTCTCAATGTTAAGACATGCCGTGTGAACACCTTTTTCAATGTGCGGTAGCACAACATCACAATATATTCTACAAACTGTCTTGACGGATATTGCAAATCCATTACACTGTGACCTCGTCAGATGCGCTTTTAATCCTACTTACTCAAGTTACAAATATATTTGCTTCACGGAAGCGTTTACATCTTCGGCGGTACTCTATGCGACAAGGTTCAGTAAAACACCTGACGAACCTGAAACGATCATTTCTCGTGACAAATTTCATTAGAGGAGTCAGAAACGTACCAAATCGATGCATTTGTACAGCGTGTTCTTCGGGTCTGTGCACTTCTCGACCTTCCAATTTCTGACATCACTACTAGAAATAGTAACAGTAGTTAGAATTTGACTTTGTCTGATTTTTCACGCGATAAATCGCACTGTCCGCTTGAGAAAACGGTGAACGACACCGGAACTTGCAAAATATACATTCAAAAGTGATCGCACAAAGCCACCCACGTAAATCGAGTGAGCCGTTAGTGGTATATAAACCAACATGAACTCGTTCATGTTGGTCAGTTTAGCAGCATCGTGCATATAACGCTCGAGTCGAGTAACTACTTACGTAATGATCAGGTGCAAAGGTCTCGCTCAGTATCTTTTATCTGTCCTATGGATTGTTCACTTACCATGGAGTGATCGGACAAAGCGCTTACCCTATCAAGGCTGATGTAGTTTTTGCTAAGTGATATATATTTACCTAGTGAAATCGACATCCCTAATCTGACTACGGGTTGAACCTGTTTATTGTAAATTGTCCGATGCCCGGCATATTGTGATGGAAGTAATATCTCCATAACATCAAGAATTGTTAGCCTCCTGGCACTAATTTCATTCAAGCTCTCAAGTGGATTTGATATCCACAGAGGATAGTTCTGGAAGAGTGCACTGTAACTGCTATTGTCGTGTGCTCAAACCAAACTTTTTTCCTTTGTTTGCATGCTTGCACATGAGTACAGTGGAAGGAGTATATATAATCCATAGCCACAAAGGCTCACTGCACTATCAGGAATAATCGGCCGACGATTTCTGAGACTTGGAGTGAGGAACCACATAAGGTTCCAATATGTCATAATTCGTGTTTCCCGGTCGGAAATGAACTGTAATGAAAGCATGGTAAAATCACAGTTTTGTTGGACTGTGTAGTCGCCAAGATTTCTGATCGACCTCATCAATCTATATTTTATTAATTTTGACCATATTTTTAAAATAGAATTGAAAAACAAGCTGCTGACTACACATTTGTCCCGGTATAAACGTGGCGGTGACTAGTATTCGTACCTACACATCGGTAAGTAGCACCGTTCAGTCAGTCAGAAGCGAAACTGCTTCAGCAGTGGATTTTATGGGAAACAATCGGTTGATGAGATGTGATCATCAACCAAACAACTGGTTGACTCATCAGTCCCTGTTCATGGACTTGTGTCTGCGTCTAAGCGATGAACACAAGCTACAGTTGTGTGTTTAACAAAAATCGCTTCAGACAATATCATTCATTTGTCGTCCTCTAATCATAATCGCCTTAATTCCTTAAGGATGTTACCCCGTACCGCCGCCCTCTTCTAGATACCAATTGACCTCACTGGTTTTTCAGTCTCTTCAGTAATTATCACTCTATATTGTTATTGTGCACACACATGCTGCAGTCAATGAGATTTTTGTTTTTTCAGTCGGTAGTTATTTTACCGACTTCATAGGAGTGACATTGACCGCATTGGGGGACAGGACGGATGCAGCGGAATGGTCGATAATATGTTTCGCATATCCCGAGCAAACAGTTTCCATGCTGAGGGACACGCCTCTATCACATTTTCAAAGTATTCGTGTGATTATGCGACAGCTGAATGTTGACCTTTTTAGTGCACAAGGTATCTGCTTCACTTGCGTGGGAAACGCTGCCTCGATACATGTATATATGTATATTGTGTTCGTCATCTTTGTCTCCCATCAGTCGCGCTTTTTAACGCTCTAGTTTCAATGATTGGGAGCGGACGCGGTCTTGAAAGCCGATGAAAGGGCGTTTAACGCAACAAAATTTGTTACTTTTCTGATAGCATCACATGAACAGATATACACCCTCTGTTTTTGGGTGTCTAATGCTAGTGAGCAGTTCGCAAACGACGATAAATGCAAAGTATGTAATTCTTCAGAGCGTACTCTTTTTCTGTTATCAAACTGGAGAGTTTTGTGTGAGATTATTAGTTTTTCAAGATTAGATTTATAAATTATTTGGCCTGTCAGGCAATACAAATCCCTAAATCACCATTGGAAGTCCTTTTAGTAGTGTTGAGCTGTTTCATCCTTGTTAGGAATAATCAACTGCACATTCCATGAGCCCCCACTAAGACTCAAACCCTGGGGTGTTCAATCGTGAGTCGAACACCTAACCATCAGGCTGTATGGGCTTGTTCTCAACGGTTTGTTGAACATAAATGCTGTTTTTGGTCCGTTACGATAAGTCTTCTGGGTTTGTACAATCACGTTTTGAGTTTTTGGATTACTTAATTTGTCTGAATAATCGCACGGAATACCCAAAGATCAACACAGGTTGACGAACAAGTTCGTTTTCAGTGATTCATACTCACGTTTTATGTGAGGTGTTAAATGAACAAAACAGAGCTGGAATTGGGCGATGGGTCGAAAATAAAGACAAGGAGATCAAGTTTCATACTCATGACGTGGATCCCACCTTGAACAGTGAGTGCGTGGCCGTAGTGTCATGAGTCTGATCACGGGATCTGTGGTTTGTTTGGGTGTTGGGGTAAACCAAGAAAGTTTCAGTGCCTGCTCAAACTGTTTTTGAGCGCGTAACGGCGAATTGTGAAGAGGAATGCATACGGCTGGCGCTGACTGAAGTTCGTGTACAGTTTAATAATGGTTGCATTATGAAATCACACTTTCTCATTTTATTAACATAAAACAGACAGTTCATTTAACATGGGTGTTGATCATAACGAAGACCACACAAAAACGTATTGGTCCACTTGTCATTCGTAAACAGAAGTTCCGACTGTAACCCGATTGGTTGATTCGGCTCCGTTCAGTTCAGACAACTGATGGGTCTATCGCTCCGTTTCTCTGGCTCCAGTTTTGTCCTCGATTTGGGACAAGCTATGACGTGCTGTCTGCTTGCTGAACCAACGATCTGCTTGGTTGAATCCAATCTTGCCTTTAATTCTAAACGGGCGAAGGCGTGCCGTCTGCTAATTAAACCAGGTGTCTATAGATGCCATTACCCTCACAAATATCACGATATAGCACCTTTCCATCACTCTGAACGGCAACAACCCATTACCCGCACACCGATCTACACCTGCGACGGATGACCATGTATCCACTAATCAGTAGTAAAACGAAAGCATGTACGTAAGAATGAACGTGTGTTCAAGTTCCTCGTACGCTAAGCGCAAGCACGACAATGCGTCAAGCAGACCAGAACAAAGAATCAATGTCTGTTTCACTCGGAGCTAAAAGCGTGTGATTGGTGGAGTGGAACAATGCACAGCGCGGTGCAAACTGGCATCGCGCGTGCAGGTGCAAGGTGAACGAAGCAGGAATCACGTGTGAATGTCAATGATAACTAAGTTAACCACGCAACATAATTCACACAAAATACACTGTAAGTTCTTTTTCCTCTGCAAACGAGACTTGCAGCACGCAAGCATTAGATTTTACGTGCAAGTATATTCACGAGTTCCGAATAAACACGTGCTAAGCATTCGAAAAACTGACAGTGGAATAATCATACTTACCGTATCCACGATCACCGGAATCAGTGATGTGGGAATTTGGTCGCGTTTTTTTGTTGCACTACTCAATAGATAATTGTTATCGACACCCAGGTTCATTCATCAACAGTCGTGGCCTTGAGGGAAAGTTTTGTTTTAGTGTAAAATTGGGTCTTAGCATTCAGTAAGCTGTCGTATAATCTCACGAAAATCGGTATGTAATTGTAGTGTGTAAATCTGTTGTATTTGACGTGCCTTCGTAAAAGTAAATAAAAGTGAGACGCTTGGTCCATTCTCTAATGTTCTCCGTCTCTGATTTCCCATTAGGCTGGGATCCAGGAAGCCAGCTGCTACGATCAGGCAGCCAACATCCTGTTAAAATTGGGACAGTATTTCCAGGCCCAAGTAAGCAGATCATGTTACCTGACGATTTTGCTCACAGGATGACTTTTTGGATTGTTTTGGTGATCCAACAGTCACGGGCAAAGTTGGCACAGACATTGTGGATGGAAAATGTTCATGGCTTGTTGTTACATGTCTTTCCAAAGCTTCGGAAAAGCAACTTCAGACCATCAAAGTAAGCTTTGGTCCTCTACCGTCTTTCACAAGCCTTTTGTTTCATTTCGTGTTCGTTACGTTGAACTAACGTAAGCAACTGGACAGAATCCTTTTTACTTTGTTCTTTTTTCGTACAGTTGAGATGTGCGGATTTCCACATTTGAAGTTAATCCTGCAACCTAAGTGCAGTAATTTGACTGCTGAACCTTACTGCGAAGAGTCCTTACTATCATCCATACCCTGTCAGTTAAAGCTCCTAATTGTGTCTGTGATTCACATGAACTTTGGTGTAGATAATGATCAAAACATTTTACACTAAAACGTAGTACGTTTGATATTTTCCGGTGATATTCTGATCTAAAAAATAGGTGAAAGTGCAGAAGCAGGCGTGGCGGAACAAGTAGATTTAAGTAGACCCAATTTGCGCTGACCTTTTTCGGGCAGTTAAGAACGAGCCGCGGCATATGCCACATCAGAGCCAGTGCATTTTGCCCTGAAGAAGCTCAGTGGTAAAGATCTTAAACCATAAATTGACTTACTCTTAGAACTAAAGCACCGTGATCTTAGAATGAGCCGTGTCCGTGTTTGTTCTGTTCGGCGATCTTCGCTAAATGACATCAACCGGTGAGCAAAATCTATTTACTGAAAGAATCGTACTTTCATTTTTTTCACGATAGTTTCTGCTATATTTACTCTGAAGGTGCCTAACAGCACAATTACATCAGCATTTGCTCGTACAACTGCGCCCAATAAGTTGCGTTTTCGTGTTTATTGTTTCCTCTTGGGATGTGAGTACGTTCATTAAAAAGGACAACTACCGGAGATGTGAGACGTGATGAATGCGACTGTCTCTTACCTTCCTTGAATCGCTCATGGAAGTGCTTCTATAGACTGAACCGCCGGTTTGTTTGTCGTTCCTGTATGTACCCCAACTGGCTTTAGCTCTCCCGAGGCTAAAGGTAAATCCTATGAATTTTCTCAACCGCTGGTGACTTTAGCACTCAAGTTGGAAGCCCAAACGAGACGGAGAGGAATACAGGTCGATTTGGCGTTCCAGTCGGTCGAACAGATAACGGTGACTGACTCATCCAACTATGTTCCGACTAGTCTTAGCGGTTACAAATTCCTCGCACAAAAGGCGACACCAACTAACCTGGCGTCCTCCTGCACCTTCACAGCGTTGGACTCACATCGACCATAGTGCTATCGGTTACCGCTGGTGTGGGTCAGTTCAAGATTGTCGATCATTCTATTCCACGTCTGCAGACACCACGCTCCTCTACGCGGACGTTTTAGTCTACGTCCTGTCCGTGGCCAAAATAACACCTAATCCAGCCGTCCCCCGGAGCTGCTACTGGACGATAACGATCGATCTGCTTCCCAAGCAGAATTATTCGCCAGGTTATCGATGCAATCAAATGTCCAGGATCCAGAAGAGCGATGAACAGAAATCAAAGAGGCCCTATTTACGACTTAATGCTTCCCAGGCTTCAACAACCGGACTCACCAAAACGATGGATATCTGCGTCCAAAGTCACACGGTTAGATGGGCGCAGATCAGTTCCTCTGGATTCCAGATACGATGGGGGCACGGAGATGCCTTAAACGCCAATTGATTTGAAGTCTGAGAAACGACTGTCAGCAGTGTTGAATTGCGAAATGTAGGGAAAGGGAAAAGCCGCGGTGATCGACAACCGCCGCAACCTTTTCCGTCGAACTAAAAATACCAATCCACAAAACCCAGGCGTTAACGAACTGATCAAAGATACGAACGGTTCATTGGTTCGATTTTAGGAGTTCCGTACCGAGAATTTCGAGAATCAATTTAACTAACTTATCCACAACATGTTTGCTAACTAATATGATGGTTGCAACTCTAGACGTAGATACCAATCCTCCATCAGAAGCGGAAGTTCTCCGCGGGATAAGCTACCTTAAACGACGTAAGGCTGCTGAACCCGATGGGTTACCTCCGTTTGTTTTCAAAGACAGTGGCTCAGAATTTTATTGGAGTTGAGAAAACTCCTCAGAGGGGACAGTTTCCATAGAGTTGGTGTGAGTCGGTGATCGTACCAATCTACAGTGCGACAACTGTGAAAACCACTAGGAAATAAGTGTGGTTAGCATCGCATCCAAACTGCTCACCGGTGTTATTCTGCACCGCTTATCTGGCGCTCGTGCGAGAATCAAGCCGGGTAGACCTGGATATGATACGATGTCGCGACTAGTGTCACTCTCGTATTCATGAACTTTCTTTATCGACTTGGTACTATTTGTAGGTCCCTTCTTACTCTTTTTAGTACTTCCGATTGAAGTTTCTGCGCAAAGATAGCAACCGAAAGTGAACACAGTGCATGGGGATCTTCTTTTGCACGAAAACCGATATCATTGTCAAATAGAGCCCCTGTTTGAAACACGTTTCGAGAAACGGAGTCGAATGGTGCAGTCCTGCATTGACTGTAGTGGTACTGTGTGTTAGCTGCTTTAGGCAGCATGGTAACTTGATAAGACCTATTCAATAATGAAGATGGAAAGCGATGTGAGGATAGTCGCGCACGGTGATATGCATATTTCTGATTGTCCACATCCGAATGGTCTCCGTGCTTATCTGCTAATTTTTCCCTGGCTCTAGTGGAATAATCACAAGGATTGAGATGAAAGCAGAATATGCTTGGAGGCCTGATATATTTCCGCTATGCTTGTGGACCGATTGTTATGCGTGACGAGGCCCTTAACTAAAGCGTTTTCGATTTGCTTTTCTTTCCTCTTAGGAGAGTTATGGGCACAAAGACCCTGGGGCGGAAGCCACCGTACGCCGTGTTTTCGAAGAGTTGGGCTTGCGTGATGCCTTCCGGAAATACGAGGAAGATATGCGTGCTGAAATCGAGCATGAAGTCTCCAATTGTGATCAAATCAATTGTTCCGATTTGTTTGAAGAAATCATTCAGTTGCTTTTTGGACGAGTTCATTGATCTCTTACCCCATTGTCTGTGATAATATTCATTGCAACGTGTAAATTAACTTTTACTTGCTGAGAGGATGAGTTTATTCGGAAGCATTCTCGCATTTTGTACATCTGTTTCAAAGAGATTTCGATCACAGCATTTTTATTGTTTTTTCGCACCAGCATCCCCCCGTCAAAGAAAACACTCATGGTTTCAGATTTGATTGATAATTTTCTAATGGATCTGGTATGCGTTGTGTCGACAGTCCCGGGTTTCCCTGTTTGTTTATTTTTTGTCATATAATAACGATATAGTATTTCAAGAAGGAAGTTGCGCCTCTAATTAGTAGCCTCATTAGGGGAAAGTGACTGTCGGCGGCAGAATTTGAATCCCGGACCGAAGAGTCTAAAGTACACCAGGATGACCGGTTCACCGTTCACTCAGAATCACCGTTATACTTCTTAACTACGTTCTCATCCGCTAATCAGAACTTCGCTCTAGGTGCGACGCGTACAACCGTCTAGTGATCCTACCGAGAGTAGAAATTCCCATTGGTCTTCAAATAAATGCGACGGGTGCTTCAAATTTGGCCATTTTCTATCGTTCAAACATCATTGCACTCGGACTTGTTTGAAAGTCATCAATGGTTCCGTATACGCACACGTTTTGAAATCCTTGTGTGCTATCATGCAAACTGCGTTTTTTGTGAATAGTGGCAATAAAGTTCAAGCGGATGATCAAGAAATGTAGTGGAGGAAACACGGTAAAGGCTACCAAGCGGATCTCCAACAGTGCCGTGCAGGAAAAATCCAGATTCCCGTGATCTCGGTGAGCAATGTTTGTTCTTTGTTAGAAGAAATCATGGAGACGACACCAACCATACGGGAGAAAGAATCTGGTAATGAATTATTATTTGGGAAACGTAACGTGCCGAACATGAATCTGTCTTTTCTGTACATCTCTTCAGGTCAGTACAGTACACATGCAAATTTTTAGCATTGCTCAAAAATATGATCCAGAATATTAACGTGCAAGCACAAGAAACTGAATGTCAAGACTGTTTGGTGTCGTATTTGTGTGGACAGAGTAATCACCAGATTTACCAATCCTGTGTTTGTCCCACCATCACGTTGACCTTTGGCCACAGGAGCTGCAGTGCTTTGAACTATTTTTGCGAGCAAATGATTGGTCTGTGTAATCTGATTGCGACTACCTCGACCGTAGAGAGGATTTGTTGTCTGACCTATTAGGGTGGCTTGCCTACACGCGGTAGATGACGCCAAATGGCCCACCACGCGTTATTGTGTGACCCGTGTCGATCGCTCAGGTCAGTATTACGCTTGTTACCATCTTATTGATCCCTGTAGCTAGCCATGCAGGGCAGTGTTCTTGAACTCGTACGGGCGTCTGTTTGTTCCTCCGACGTACTTACCTCCACAGGAATAGTGGTAGGAAAATAAACAGCCTAAGGCCAAATAATTATTACTGTGCTAGCGGATTTTTGGTTGCAAAACGATATAACCGATGGAATTATACAATGGGACGAGTTTCATTCGGCCCAATCGTCCCACAGCTGTCCATAATCGTGGAGGTGTTATCATTTATGTTGACTGCTTATTTAGTGTACACATTACTGGAAAGGTCAGCTGTCACGTCGTAGACTGTAAGTCCTGTTTTCTGAGTGAATTTCGCCTGATGTTCATCAGAATCATATACTTGGCCCCATTGTACGTCACTGTGACTTAAACATATGAAGCTACCAAAGTAATCCGACGGCCTTGATAGTAGTATCCCACCAATATTAACTCGTGTGTGGTTTTCCATTCACAGATCTCCATCCATGAAATTATATTGGCGTTAGCCTACTGCCTCAGAATTGTAGGTACCTATACATTTCCCACTTTTCCCATGATCTTCAACGTCCCTTGGTGCAACACTCCTTTGTTTTGCCGACGTAAAACAAAGACACGCCATTTTGAACATCACCGCACAATACAAAAAGGCTGCCAATAAATCTTTTATTCTGACAAGTTCTCACCTTCTGATTTGGAGTGTCTTGGAATTATATCAACCAGAACTAACTGTGATAAACAAAACACATTAGAAGGAAGGTTTGCACAATTTATACAGGTAAGCGGATATTCGTTTTACTGCCATCTGAAAAACAGGAGGCCACAGAGAATACACAAGTTGCAGCCGGTGAAGACGACTGTGATATTGCATGAAATAATGTTTGGCAAGTACTTCATTACGCTTGACAGTGAAGATATATAATGCTGACTTGCCTCATTTATGCGGTGACCAATTTAAACGATCTGTAGCGAGACCTGTTAATTCGGAATTGCATTTTGTGCTCATCGGCGATTTTATAATTGTGTACACCTGACCCGTTGGCACCGAAGCGCGTAGATATTTGCTTCCACGAAAACCTAGCCGTTCATCTGTGTTGTGTCCAAGACTCAGTAAACAACGAAAGCACGTATGCGCAGCAGAGCTTGTGTTCCGGATCAACGTTCGGCAAGTTCGTGTGTGAGCATGTGTCAATTGGACGAAAGCGGTTAATCGATATTAGTCACACGCGGTGCTAACTGCGTTTGATTGGTAGAGAAGGCCAAAGCAGAGCGTGATACAGACAGGCATCGAACTTGGGAGTCCAGGGCAAAGGTAGTTGGGATGAGTCACGAGCGAAAGTCAATGGCACATGAGTTGGCGTCAGAACAACCTGGCCGTTGGCAACTTCAGATAATCTCAGGCAGTTCATTTCAAATTCAAGATAATTTTCAAAATATCACCACAGTTTCTAACGCTGTTTAGAACGTATACTACTGCACATATTCACGCGTGCTCCACTTTGGTCGTGTAATGATGACCACATTTGTGGTCACCACCGAATCGTTGCAAAATCAAGTGATATTTTCCATGCATCATCACTTTTTTATATCCTTGTGTCATTAAATGATGCTTTATTTTAATTGCTGCAATGTGGTCCTAATGCCAGCACAGTATCCGCAATGGAATAAAATGCGCCAATTTACCGCGATCCGATTCGAATACTTTCCAAAGACCCATACGACGAAGTTTTGTTGCTAACCCTTTTTGGTCTACCGAACATATCTCTGACCTCAGCGCTACTGATTTTGTCTTAGAAAACCGACTGCAAATCTTCACTCACTGAACTAGGCATACACGCATCTGACACTAGCCCTGCGTTCGGTCAACCGGATTTGTTTGCGGGATTCAGCACCAGTGCGATCGTGACTACAGAGACAGGATCACTGAGTCAAGCCAGTTGAGGCTTGTCCGCTCGGCTTTTTTGAGAACAAATTTGTTTTCCTCGACCACAATCTGTGCAAAACCTGAGCAACCATATTCATGACCGGACGGCCACTTCTGGACTGGCATGTACAATCTGAGAATGGGAAAAAGCTTCATGTTTCAGGAAGTGGGTGCGGGGCTGGTGACAGGTTCCGCAGGTAGATGATCGTCTGTGAGCCATGGTCCGGTTCAATACTTCTCAGTAAGAGAGTTCCCGAGACCCGTTTATTCATTACCGCTAGCTTTTGCGTCATGTGAATCAACTAAAGCACGCCCTGTTCGTGATTGTCCTACTTGAAGGATGTCATCGACTGGCCAGGCATAGGTAAAAATGATAGTTGCGTGAGCTGTGAACAACACAGAGCGCCTATTAGTGGTTGCTCGTGATGTCCAGGGTGAGATACAGTTTTACGTCAGAATTTGAATTTAATTTGCAGAGTATAACTGAGGAAATCAAACAACTTAAGCTGGAACTGAGCCATTAAGCACAACACAAGGACGAATTATTGATGCGTGGTTCAAGAAATGGGTGTTTTGTGTGCGAAATGGTGGGACATTTTACCCGATATTGTCTACAGAAACGTCTCTCATCTTTTTACTTATCTACATTCAGGTCGGGGAGGGTGCCAGTCACTGAAGCCATAACTTGGGGCGAACGTAAAATTGCGGTTGTAGATCCGAGAACTGCGGTATCCGCGACACCTCGTAAGGAGAGGATTTCGGTTAATTTATGTGAAACAATAGGGAAACAGAAACTAGCTGTTCAGATCGGTGCTGTTCGCGTGAAACATGAAATGGTACTGGTCAAAGGGGTTGCTGAGACGACTGTTGGGGTCGATTTGATGGGACGTCTTGGTGCTGAAATTACTTTGAAACTCATCAATCGGGTGCTGGGTAGAAAGATATCGATATCCAGTCCCGCTGAGACAGGTTGAGCTGCGTTTGTGGTGTAATAACTCATGATGCTGTATGGATTAACGTAGCATTATCCCGCACAGAATATCACGGAATCAGAACGCGGATATGGCAAACGACGTACCGTAGTACTTCGTAAATTGAGCACAAGTATGTTCAATATCAGTGTAAATGAATATAACAGAAATGGTGAAATTCACTTGTAAAGTCAGTCATAAATACCACATTCACCACACGTTGAATTCAGCTCAAGGTGCTTGTAGTCCTTTGGAGGCATTGCTTGTGTTCTTGCTGATCTTCTGATCCTAGATTCTTCGGATGATTCGCCGGATTCACGCTATTTGTCAATATCCAGAATAGGAGAATTAGTGGGCGAAACAACAGTGGAACTGTTCTCTGACTGAAGTTCTGTGTTAAACTGTACCTGATCGATATGTCTTCGATGACCGGACAAATCATGACAGTCAAGTATGGTCACCAATCGATTACCATTTCGTGCCACTGGGTGACCGCAAATCATTCCCTCTAAAAAAGCCTACATCAGCAGAAGAGACACATTTAAAACTGGTTCTCAAACAACGAGATTTGAATGACTGTGCTGGACTCTTGCTAGTTGTATTATGGCAAGCATTTCGGTATCGCATCAAGATATTATCAACAGCTCGGTCTACTTCAACTAAAGACTGATAATTGCTAGACTGTATAGCACTTTTAGGACTTCGAACAAGGTTCTCGGGAAGTCCGCTAGACTGAGGATGGCGGGGTGCAGTGTACAAATGACGACAACCAGTCATCAAGGGACTTGGCAGAGAAATGGGT